AAATTACTATTAAAAATGTTATATAATTTTCAATTAATTAACATTTCTTGCTCTGTCAGTGCAAGACGAATGTACATACATATGTAGATACATATGTACTTAGATGTGCACATACATATGTATCTATGGACATTCACACATTAGTGTCTCACATTTTGCTTTGGCTATTTCAATCGTTTGCACGCAACTACACGAACAGCTGTTTGTATGTGTGTGTGTGTGTATGTATACTTAGTTGTCCCCAACTGTTTGATATTTTGTATTGTTTGTTCTGCCTGCTTTTGTAAAATGCATATTTTGAAAATCCTTGAATGCAAAGTTGTAGATTTAGTTACGTAGATTACATTATCCAAATTTTAAATCGATCGGACTAAATTTATAACACAAACTTTTCATTTGAAATAGTGAATAAATATTAAAACCCCAATAATTCAAGCTCCAACACAATCGGTTGAAAAATGCGGATTTTTCAAACAAACTTTGGAGCTACTTTTCCCCCCTTTGGTGCTCGATTTTTCCAAAATCCCTTCTTAGTGCGCATCTACACCCTGATAGGATACTTGAGCCCAAATTTCAGCATCCTAGCTTTTACCGTGTGGGCTGTGGGCTGTTGACGCGGTTTGCTTTTGTGCCCCAACATTTTTTTTACAGGAAAACTCCCATATTTTAGGCCCAAAAACCAAGTATACAGTTTTTCTTGGAATTGTTCTCAGAGTATACAAACTAAGTTTAAAGTTAATCAGATGACAACTGTAGATTTTTCATACAAACGTTGGAGCCTGTTTCCCCCCTTTGGAGCTCGAGTTTTCCAAAATCCCTTCTTAGTGGGGACCTAGACTATGAAAGGATACTTGAGTCCAAATTTCAGCTTCCTAGCCTTTACCGTTTGGGCTGTGCGTTGATCACCAATCAGTCAGTCAGTCAGTCAGTCAGGACAAACTGTTTTATATATATAGATTGTGATTAGAACTAATAAAAACGAACTAAATTTTGTGAAATAAATAAAGTAATGCCAACGAGTAAGAGCATAAGATCTGTAAACAACAAAGAAAAATTGATAACAACAACGACCAGTACACTGCCCTCGGTTGCAACTGTGTCTTCAACATCGACAACGACAACAACAACAGCAGTCTCTCAACGCCCGGTATTGCCAACTCACTGCGACCTCCCTATCTCCCAGTCGAAAAGTACGCAAAGCGCTAACGGAGCGTTAATACAGACTGGGCTCGATCACTATGTGTGCAAATTAAACGAAAACTAAGGCCACAAGCAACTTAGAGAAACAACGCACCCAAAATAACTAAAACAGCAAAAAACACTGAGGAGCTGAAAAACAATAGATTCTCAGTTTACCTGAAGAAGATATCGCCGAAACAGCTAAGGCCAAGCATTTAAAGCAGCCACCTATTTATGTGCGTCAGGCAAATTGTACAGAATTGGTTAAAAAGATCACTACCAAAATTGGCGAAAACAAATTCTATGTCTATAAAACGGGGTAGCATAAATGAAACTAAAATACAAGCCAATGATGAAAATTCCTATCGATCACTGGTCAAATACCTCGACGAGGAAAAGATGAACTACTACACCTACCAACTTAAAAGTAGCAAGGGATTACATGTGGTTATCAAAGGAATCGACCCAACAGTTCCAGTCAGCGAGATAAAAGATGGACTTAAAGAGAAGAGCTTTGAAGTCAAAATGGCAATGAACATAATAAATAGAAATAAAATTCCCCAACCAACGTTCAAGATAGAACTGACTCCTGACTGTATGCCTATAAATAAAATAGAAGTTCACCCAATTTACAAGTTGCAATATCTACTGCACCGTAAAATCACCGTTGAGGAACCGCACAAACGAAATGGACCTGTCCAATGCACAAACTGCCAGGAATATGGACACACAAAAACCTATTGTACCCTACGCGCAGTCTGTGTTGCTTGCGGGGATGTACATCTCAATGAGGCCTGCCCTGTAAATAAGGTGGACCCCTCTGCTAAAAAATGTACCAACTGTGGGGGAAACCACACTGCCAATTATAGAGGTTGCCCCGTATGCAAAGATTATTTCGCAGGTCGAAATCCAGTCACCCGATAAAACTTGCCATACATACCATCAACTAGGATTCCAGGAGTATCTTTTACTAAGGCATTAAGTTACACCAACGAGTCGTACGATCAGTCTCTAAGCAAACCGCTGCAGGAATAATGAATCGTCAGACACCGCAACAGGGGCCAGAAACTACTGCCCAACATACCACTGCAAATCTATCCCAATTGCCTAGTGGATTTGAATCAATTCTGGCAACTCTAACAAATACAATGGTAGCAATACAACAAACGATGAAGGAAATTATGCGCAATCAAAATCTCCTCCTGGAAATAGGACGAATTTAAATACGGCTGACTCAATTTTAAGCTTAAGTTAGCTTACGTTTAAGATACGGACTTAATCGTAACACCAAAATTATCCTGACTTATGAATTAAGAATATAGAATTAATATGAAAACATTAAAACAGATATTTTGTTTTTTAGCTTTTTTTGCTTTGGATTTAGCTTTATTTTTTTTTTTTTTTGGCAATCTAGCTGTTTTTGATAAAAAAAAATTATGACAGCACTGGTTCCCAGGCATATTGAAGAACTGCTACGAAATAAGAGAAGGCTTCGGCGGGAGTGGCAAGCGCACAAATCACCTGACTCAAAGGAGCGGTTAAAAATAGCCAACCATCTACTACGCAAAGCCCGAGAAGATGAGAAACACCGAGCTCAAATGGACTATATGGAGCAACTTTCCCCAAACAGCAAACGATTCCCATTGTGGAAAGCTAACTCAGGCGTATGTATACCGTATACCAATATACTGAAATGGGGCTATTATCCTCAACAATTGAGAAAATCTGTCCTCACAATGATCCATAAAGCCGAAAAGGACAAGTCTCAGCCATCATCATATAGACCTATCAGTCTCCTGCCGTGCCTATCGAAGATATTCGAAAAACTACTCCTAAATCATATCAAGCAGCATCTACATACCAACAGTGCAATCCCAAATCACCAATTTGGTTTTCGCGAAAAACCGAACAACCTCTGAGATACGAAATGCATTTGAAAAACGAGAGTATTGCTCCGCTGTTTTTCTGGATGTCGCTCAAGTCTTTGACCGCGTTTGGCTGGATGGCTTAATTCACAAAATCAAAATATTACTTCCACAGAACATCCATAAAATACTGGAGTCATACGTACAGAAAAGAAGTTTCGCAGTTAGATGCAAAGATTTCCTCTCCGAACACTGCATATCATATACACAGCAGATATACTGACAAACATTCATACAACAATTTCGACATTTGCTGATGATACTGCCATTCTAAGGCGTTCCAAGTGCCCAACAAGAGCTACAGAACTCTTATTATCTCACCTCGTGACCATAGAAGAATGGCTAGCAGACTGGCGCATACATGTAAACGAGCAAAAGTGAAAACATGTCACCTTTACCCTAAACAAACACTGGGGCACCCATGTACATACGGAGTGAAAATATCCGGAAAGATTTAAATGTGGGACCTGTTAAAAATGAAATCGCCAAGGTGAAAGCGAAGTACCAGATTAAGCTTCGGAACCATCCAATTAGACTTGGGCAGAATTTAAATTGGCAGGCTAGCCACGACTCCGGCGAAGAGACCTCCCCACCCAGCAATAACAAGTAGGGCCGTAATTTAAATATTGAATTGTAATAAATTAAATAACTATATTAGATTATGATTTGACTACTTAACGTAAGTCTCCGAGAGAGAAGATTCGATTAATAAAGAAAAGTAAAAAAAAAAATTAAATTATTTAAATTAATAAATACAAATTATTCAATACATATATACGAGAGTGGATACATGTTCATGTACAGTTTCAACACCATACATTTACATCAGAATCGTGGCTCTGCGTGTTTATATCCGTGTATGTATGCAGCAGAAAGTTGAACGAAAGCAGCAGAGCATGGGCAGCGATTTTATTTATGGCTATAACTTTCTTCAGAATTGACCTATCATGATGAAACTTTGCATATAGACACACAATCACTAACGGGATGTAGTTACCAAGTTAGAAATTCCAAGAATTACTGGAGTTATGAAAAAAAAAAAACACGAATTGCCGGAGAGTGTGGGGGGGGGGGTTGTATCAGAATAATAAAATAAATTTGACCTGCCTAGGGCTCAGGGGAACCTGGATACAAAGTTCTACCTTCTGAGATCCTTGCGCTCGTCCAGACGGTCGGACAGACAAACGGACATGGCTATATCGACTCGATTTGCCACCCTGATCAATAATATATATACTTTGTCGGGTATGCTACGCCTCCTTCTGCCTGTTACATACATTCGCACAAAACTAGTATAGTCTTTTACCCTTTGAGTACAGGCTATAAATATACTTGTTTTTTTGTTTTTTGAAATTTTGTGATTTTGTATATTTTTTACAAAAAACGATGTATTTTATTTTTACATTAAAGTTGTTTCTGGTATCAAAAAATCCCCTAATTTGCTTGCATCCCACGAATCACAAAATTGGGCCAAAAGTGATCATTTCAATTCACTAGCTTATTTCAGTGTAACCAAATCAAATACACTTAAAGTACCATGTACAGAACTACATCAGATAGTAACTTTGCAAATTTCGCGCATACATTGTAAAATAATTGAGTTTAAGCGGTATGTTGCAGGTATGCATCATAGACATACGAAGGGTTAAAAACACATTACAATTGTGTGTAAGCTGTCAGATCAGAAAACTATTGGAAAATGTACATTTTATTAAATGTAGATAATTTTACTAACATAATTAAAGCTAATTATGTTAAAGTATTTTGAATAAAAAACATAATCATGTCACCAAATTGGACATTATTGGCAATTAAATATATTAAAGCTTTAAAATGTTCTCAGGAGGTTTAAATTACGAAATGAAATTTATTTCTTTGTGGCAAGCCGTACGTTACCTTTCAATTAATTTACACATCTCCTCTGTGGTGCGTTCATCTTTCAATTGGGGCGACCTTTTTACTATTGACGATTGCATTATATGCATTGAAACCAAATTTGTAAAGTACTCAAGTCAGTTGGTCAACGAAATATAGTTGGTGTTGAAACATGCATTTAAATGTAAAAGAAACAGAAAAAATATATTAAACAAAAAGCAATGTTAAAATTAATCTAAACAAGTGGAGAAGCCAAAGCCGGGTATCCCGACTTTGAAATACTCTGTACATATTTGTAGAATAATTATGCGTATCTATGCGTGTCTGTGTGAGTGTGTCTGTGTATGTCTCGTGCGCCTCTGCAAAGCAGTAACAACAACAACAGCTGCGGGTACTGCTACGTCATATGTACATGTATGTGTATAACTTCCTGTTAAATGTGCCTATTATTATGAAACTTAGCATATGGACTCATTATCACTAACTGGAGGTATTTTCTGAATTTCATTGAAATACAGGAGTTATGGACAATCAGTGATTGTGGGGGAGACGAGGGAAGGAGGGAAATTCCAAAACACACATTTTCTGCGTATTCACATAAAGCATCTTGGAATAAAATTTGGTGTCCCTAGGTCTAATAGTATCTAAGATATTGGTGATTTTACGGAAAATCGGGAAATCCCTCATAGGTTGGAAGTTGGCAGGAAAATTAAAAATGTAAAACAAAAAAGTACAGTGTACACACATAAGGCATCTTTGTGCAAAATTTTGTGTCTCAAGCTCTTATAGTCTCTGAGATCCTGAGTGTTCTTATGGACAGGCGGACGGACGGACAGACAGACAGGGCTAGACTCGACTTGTCGTATTGATCAAGAATATATACACTTGGCTGGGTAGCATACTTGTCAATGTACAAGTATATTGGAAATATTCTCATGTCTCATATATCTCTTCTCTCTTTGTTATTTTATACTTCCTACATTCTACACATTTGAACTCTAATGCAATAAATACGAAGATACCAATAAACAGTTTGTAATCAGATCTTGAAGAAGAACCACTGACTATCGCGTATTATTCGGTTATATGTCAATTGAATTTTAATTTGTTTTCAAACTAATTCGCACACCGCCCAGACCTGAAGTTTCATGTTGGCAGGGAAAACGCTCCTTGCCACAACAGGGTATAATAAATTCGATTATACCTGCGTCGAGACTTCACTTATTGGTTGGAATTGTGTCTATCAGGGGGGCTACAGAAATCTGTAGTGGTTTCGGCATTAGTTGTTTTTGAAATCAATCAAAAAAATCGCTACATAATTTCGAGAGATTTCATTTTTCACGCTTTCATTTTAAACGAACTGTGACAAATTAATCACTTCAAATATTATTAAAGAAGTGCTTCAATAATTAAACGGCCGACGCTGTACTCTTGAAACACATCAATTTAAAATTTGAATTTAGTTTTCGTCAAGCTATCCGATGCAATTGCGCAGAATTTCTTTACTAGTGGCCTTTACCGTTTATTAGTCAGCTTTCCTATCAATGGCTTTCTCTGAAGTTCAAACAACTCATAGTAATTGACATATTGGCTGCTTACGGTAAAAATATCCCAGGTGTATCCCTTAATCCCAAAAGGTTCAGAAGACTTCGTTAGCTAAGGCATTTCATGTCTGATTTGATTGTCCTTGTAACCAGTAAGTAACATTTCATTCTTTGCTATCCCATAATTGAGTTGCAACACTCTAATGTACACGACAAAATTTACATATGGGGGCAAAGAACATCAATTTCAGATCTATATAGGATATAACATTCGCCCTCCTCGCGACTTGGCCTATCGAACATCTCAAGGAGCAACGCATCGCAAAACCGAAGAAATTACCACAATATTGTATTACAATTAACATGCTCATACATCGAAATCATCCTTCCTGTCCACATTTTCAAAAGCATCAAAAACTAAACTTTTGCACACGTAATTAATAAATAGTTCTCTACTATTTTAAAATTAAATATAAATCGGTGGATTTACTGCAGTAAATAGCACAAAAACTTCCGGAACGCGCTCTCCCTTCTTTTATTTTGCTTCTGCGGCGGAAGCTTGTTTGGGTACAAGGGAAGTAACTACCGGGCCTGCTCGCCTGTAAATTCTCTTTTGTTTGGTGTCGGTTACAGGGTATAAAATGTAAGCAAAATAAATTTGGTCTTTACACGAATAAGTCTAAATACTCTGCATACAAAGTTTGGTGGCTGTCTCTCTCTCTTATACTTTCGTGTTAAGAATAACTTGTCTTGTCATATTGTTCGAGAATACATATTATTTCTGGGTGGACAAAACACTGATTGGATTCAATATAAATAAGCGAATACTTTGTAAGACTTACCGCCATAATTTCCACGTGGTCCGTGATCACGGTCGCACTCAGCCTCCGATATCTCATTACTTTCTTTAGAGTCATTGAAGGAACAGTTACTCATATCGTGATTACGTGGCGGTGGAGGTGGGGGCTCAGGAGAACCATTCGTTGGATTACGCCCAGAACCTTAATGGAGTGCAATTACTAAATGTACTTTCTTAGCGCTAAGAAACTTACCAACACTACGACGTCCGACGGAACCACGAGAACCATAATGATCATAAGGCTGTCCATAGGGGCCGCCATATTGTGAACCATATTGATCTTCTTCGGGTGCGCAATTGGCTGGATCATCATATTCTGGTCCAGGTCCTGAATATAGGCTACCTCCTTGAGAATTTACTCGTGTGTAGCGGCGCTGGGTGGGACAACATATTATAATGTAATTCCTCTAATAATATTAAGCTCTCCACTTACATATTGATCTTCCTCAGCACAATTAGCCGGATCATCATACTCGGGTGCGGGTGTATAAATCGACGATTGGCCACCTTGGCTGTTCTTGCGCTGATACCGATTAGCTCGCGGCATTGACTGAGAGCCTGATCTTGAATGCATGTTTCCAGAATGTCCAGTTGGGCCCATTGTTCCAGCGTGACCAGGAACTGGTGCGTGTCCATTCTGATGTGGGAACGTTTGGAAATTCATTGCCTTTGTGGGATCCATTTCCTCGCGAAAACCAAGCAAATGAAATGTGGCATAGGGACAGATTTCATCTTCCATACCTTAATAAATATTTTCAAGTGGGTAAAATAAATCTTTTTGGATGACAGCATATTCATAGTTGTTATTCTTTGAGATGTATTATTATTTCCTAGTTTAGTATTTGTATTATTTCTTCCAAGTAATGGTTAACACTTACAAAACTATCTGAACTCGGCTTGTTGCGGCCATAAAATAATATACAACACGTTAGTAAATGTAAACTAAATAAGAATGTAAAAAATATATACAAATAATATTGTTAAATAAACCAAATGTCTGTGCTCCCTACCTGGATGTCTATAATGACACTCGACATGCCCATGGGCATGAATATTACCATAAGGTTTTCCACGCATAGGCATCGGTGGGGCTTTTAGTTCCTCATATAGGTTAGGATTGCGACGCGGATCCCAGGTGGAGTGGTTTGATTTTAAGCCACTGCGGCCTTGAGTTTAAAGTTTAATTGTGTGTCGCATTGCAGGTGTTGAAATATCCAACATTTTTTATTTTGACAATAAATAAGAGCAACCGAGGAAATTACATAGAAAAAATGATTTAAATTAAGCGTAAGAGAAAATTATATAAAATTTGTCTTGAAATATTATATACGATTTATATTTGTGAACACAATAAAAATTACCAAGAAAGTAAAACAAATTTTTCTTTTGTTTTTAATCTAATTTATGTGTTTTGAATTTTGTATTACAACAGTAAAAACAACAGCGAAATGTATTACTTTCAATTTATTTTCCAGAATTTAAAAAGAAGACAACGATCGACAAACCACTTACAACAACGACCTCCTAGTGTATGTATGTATGTATGTATGTACATATATATTTTTAAAATATACGAGTATCTTTATATTAAGTGAAGATATAGATGCTTACTTATAACTGTACCTCGCTTAATCCGATCACATGTGTTGTAGTTCGATCCTGGCACTGGGGGCAACTTCCTATTTGGAGGCGCTATGTATCCTAATTCGTCACGCAGATCTGGCCTGCGTTTATCCAAGGTGGCACCCGGTCCCATAGTCTGATTGTAAACTACATCGTCTAAAATTAATGTGTGATATCACAAACTCAATAATAAAATACGAAGATGCTTTTCCTTGATGCAATTATTAACTCGCATACTTTACTTTTGTTTTATTTCAACTTTTGCCACCGATCAATAAAATTGAAATCAATTGCAAGCATAATTATATACATATATACAAGGTGTTTTCCAAAGTAAACAGGACTTTAAAAAAAAAAACAGAACAAATGGTTTTTTCGGCAAAATCAGTTTATTTCATTCAAAATAGTGTCCTTCTGCTTCAATACAGCCTTTTGCACGATCCAGAAGCATGTCGAACGAGTGTTTAAGCTCGTTGGCCGGTATGGCCGCCAGTATGCCGGTGCAAGCCTTTTGAATGGTCTCTACGTCTGCATAACGCTTTCCTTTCATGGGCAAATGCATTTTTCCGAAAAGGTAGAAGTCGCACGGTGCCATGTCAGGTGAATACGGCGAGTGGGTAATGTTTAAAATTTGATTTTTGGTCAAATAATCGGTCACAAGCGACGATTGATGAGAGCAATTTTTGGTCGTCAGTCAATTTGTGCGGAACAAACCGTGCACACACCTTTCGTAAGCCCAAATGTTCGGTCAAAATGCGATAAATCGATGTTTTGGAGATGTTTAATTCCATTTCCATCAATTTCAATGATGATTTCGGCTGATTTTTGATCAATTCACGCACAGTTTCGATGGAATTTTCGGTGATCACGAATTTTGTTTGGCCCACATGTTGACCTCATTTATGTCCTCACGACCACTTTGAAAACGTTGATACCACTCGTGCAGTCTGCTACGGGATAGACAATCATCGCCATAAACTTGTTCCATCAATTGAAACGTTTCGGTAAAAGTTTTACCAATTTTAAAACAAAATTTAATGTTGGCTCTTTGTTCGAAGCTCATTTTTGCACCGATAACAGAAACGTGCTGACACTTAAAACACAATAACTTCACTTCCAATCGATGAAATGTCATGATTCGCACTGGACAATAGATAAAGATAGCAGATTCTAACGCACCAGTCGACATATAAATAGCGCCACCAGGGGGCGCTAGATTCAAAGAGTCCTGTTTACTTTCGAAAGCACCTTGTATATATATTTATTTTTTTTTTGCGCCGGTGCTGCATCACAACTAGTGTGCTAATCGGTTAAAATTAATTATGGAATTATGAACTTTTGAATTTAAAAACATTTAAAAAGTTTCTTGTTAGATGCAAATTGCCATTACATTATTTAAAATTACAAAATACACCAACATGTATGCGACAGTGTATATAAATATAAGAGTGACTTGATATTATTATTAATCTTTAACGTTCTTGTGATTTTAAAAAGCATCTTTGTTTTATATTAATAAAAATAAATAATAAGAATAGGTAGAAGATTTATGTGAAATAAAAAATTACTGTGAAAGCTACTTATGCACAATCTCTCTCAAGATATGTGTATACTAGATAGTACACAAGATACATACTACATAGCAACCATATATAAATGCATGCATGAATTTAAGTATGTAAGTTTGTGAATGTATGTACATACATATTTGTATGTTTACCAACAGGTATATTTGAAATAAAAAAATAAAAAATGTGTATGGTTCGAAATCGATGTAATTTGTACTGTAGAGAATTTGTTTCGCTAATAACTTTTCTTAGAAAATTAACCGATTTAGATGAAAAAAGTAGACTATTGTGTATGAATTATGTGTGCAAAATTTGGTTAATGTAACTTTTGAAATGTGGACGGTATTGAATAAATTCTGTAGCGGGGGAGGGGAGGGGGGGGGGGGGGGGGGGGGAATTCCAAAAATAAAATAAACTCGTCCTTTCTCGGACATAGGAGAATCTGGATACCAACTTTGGTTATTCTAGCTTTTATAGTTTCTGAGATCCTTGCGTTCAGCTTCGTCCCTCTTCGTTACCGCATGCCCTTGAAATACTCTCATATTTGTTAACGATCGCAAATTATAAATTTATGTTTGCCTGTGATCCTGCTATTGGTGTACATGAAAAACGTAGTTCAATTTGGCATCAAAAAATCACAGAAAACTACAGGAAACAACGACTCTTAAAAATCAAAACTTACCAGGTAGTCATAAATAAGTAGAAGATAAACAACTGCTGATGATTGCGTGATTAATGGAGCGTGATTAATGGAGCGTGATTAATGGAGCGTGATTAATGGAGCGTGATTAATGGAGCGTGATTAATGGAGCGTGATTTTAATGGAGAGAAATTTCTAATCGGAAGCACAACAACAACATCTACAACCAAAATCACCGGTACAGTTATGAGTAAATTCTATGGAAAATCTAGAAGGGACACACGCACTACGTGTAATTTGTTTTTGCATTAATCTGATTTGGCGTCTCGCTGGCGACAACTGCATGTCTTTCTTTAACAAAAGGTTGCCGATCCAGCAGCAAAACCAAGAAGTAAGAAGTTTCACTTCAAAAATAAAATAAACTCCTATAGACTAGGGAGTAGGAGCATCTATATACCAAGTTTGGTTATTGTACATTCAGCAGTTTCCGAAATACAGGCGTTCATCCAGACATACGGACAGGTATGTCTAGATCGATTTTTGTCACTTTATGTTATTGTCACTGATATTGCACAAACCTAATATACCCTTTTTACTAAGAGAAGCTAAAGTCGGGTGTCCCGACTTTGAAATACTCTCTACATATGTACAAGGTGAGTTCCAAATTAAACAGGACTTTTTGAATCTAGCGCCCCCTGGTGGCGCTATCTATATGTCGACTGGTGCGTTAGAATCTGCTATCTTTATCGATTGTCCAGTGAGAATCATGACATTTCATCGATTGGAAGTGAAGTTATTGTGTTTTAGGTGTCATTATGTTTGTGTTATCGGTGCGAAAATGAGCTTCGAACAAAGAGCCAACATTAAATTTTGTTTTAAAATTGGTAAAACTTTTACCGAAACGTTTCAATTGATGGAACAAGTTTATGGCGATGATTGTCTATCCCGTAGCAGAGTGCACGAGTGGTTTCAACGTTTTCAAAGTGGTCGTGAGGACATTAATGACGATCAACATGTGGGCCAATCAAAATTCGTGATCACCGAAAATTCCATCGAAACTGTGCGTGAATTGATCAAAAATCAGCCGAAATCATCATTGAAATTGATGAAAATGGAATTGAACATCTCCAAAACATCGATTTATCGCATTTTGACCGAACATTTGGGCTTACGAAAGGTCTGTGCACGGTTTGTTCTGCACAAATTGACTGACGACCAAAAATTGCTCTCATCGATCGTCGCTTGTGACCGATTATTTGACCAAAAATCAAATTTTAAACATTAACCACTCGCCGTATTCACCTGATATGGCACCGTGCGACCTCTACCTTTTCGCAAAAATGCATTTGCCCATGAAAGGAAAGCGTTATGCAGACGTAGAGGCCATTCAAAAGGCTTGCACCGGCATACTGGCGGCCATACCGGCCAACGTGCTAAAACACTCGTTCGACATGCTTTTGGATCGTGCAAAAAGCTGTATTGAAGCAGAAGGAGACTATTTTGAATAAAATAAATTGATTTTGAAAATACCATTTGTTCTGTTTTTTTTTAAAGTCCTGTTTACATTGGAACACACCTTGTATGTATGTGTAGAATAATTATAGAAACCACAAAAATTAAGAAATTTAAAAAAATAAACCAAAAATGTTCGATTTTACCTTCGTTGGTATTTGAACTCACGTTAAATGTGTATAATTGCATACTTAAGTACATAAACACATAGAAATTGTGTTTATATAAGTATATGCGTGTCTATGTGTGCCCATGTATGCAGTGCAAAACAGAAGTGCAATGCAAAGCAGCAGTGCAAAGCAAAGCAGTGCAAGAAGAAACAGCAGCTGTAGGCAGTGCTTTCCATGAGATTATATTTATGACTATAACTTCCTCTTTAATCGACCTAACATAATGAAACTTTGACTCATAATCGCTAGCTAGAGATATTTGCCAAATTTAAGTTCGAAATACTAGGCTGTCGCTAGGCTTTTTAGTCTCTAAGATATAGGCGATTATACGAATAAAAAATCGGGAAATCCTCTATAGGGGGGACATTGGGGGAAAAGGCAAAAAAAATAAAACAAACTTGCACAGCGTACATACATAGGGAATCTTATAGTCTCTGAGATTCAGGTGTCCATACGAACAGACAGACGGATAGACAGACAGACGGACAGACAAACCGACCTTATATACCCTAATGTACAGGGTAGAAAAGTAATTTAATATTATAAAACTAGCGTAAGCACACCTCCATTTGGGAGTTACTGACAAGCAATGACTGGATGTGAACGAGCCCTCAACGAACACTCAGGACGAATCAAAACTACAAAAACTCAGAAGTGAGCAGCTGTGACCGAACTTTTTTCCTGCATGCAAGCATTGACCGAATGTCGTATTTACAATCATACCCGCATGACCGAACAATTCGCCAGAGTACGAGTAATTTTCGAGTCATGACACAATGAGCTCTGCACTTGCACCGACTATGATCTCGACATTGCACATTTCCTACAAGTATTCCATAAAAATAAAATAAACTCGTCCTTTCTCGGACCTAGGAGAATCTGGATACAAAATTTGGTTATTCCAGCTTTTATAGTTTCCGAGATCCTTGCGTTCATCCAGACAGACGGACGGACATGTCTAGATCGATTTTTCTCGTCATGCTGATTCAGAATATATATACTTTATGGGGTCGGAGATGCTTCCTTCTGCATGTTACATACTGTACACAGACATAATACACCCTTTTTACCCTACGGGTACAGGGTAAAAAAAGTTATGCAATTTCATTATAGCCTGTACCCAAAGGGTAAAAGGCTGTACTAGTTTTGTGCGAATGTATGTAACATACAGAAGGAGGCAGACCTCACAATAAACAAGTATATATGTTATTGATCAGGATGACCGAGTCGATATAGCCATGTCCGTCCGTCCGTCTGTATGAACGCAAGGATCTCAGCAAGTACAAGAGCAAGAATAACCAAACTTTGTAACCAGATTCTCCTAAGTCCGAGAAAGGACGAGTTTTTATTTTCATTCCCCCCCCCCCCCCCCCCCCCAACTCCCACGCAATGTACACTCCATGTTCTTAGGAAATTTGTTCAATTAGCGCATGTATCGTTCTGCTTCTATGCATTTAAAAACCCTCATTAAGTTTGTTTCTTTACTACCCCGCACCATCCGGAAGGTTCATAACCGGGCTCTACACACAGGCAACACTTTGCAGGTTTAGGGTAATTCATCATCATATGGCCAGTATTCCCGCAGCATATGCAGTAAATTTGGCTCTTCCTGCCAGGTCTAGTACAGTTCCACTACTCTGGTCTATACCAAAGCACTTAAGGCATATCTTTCTTGTTATTTGGCGTCTTACGTTTTTCTCTGCACCATTTGAATTAAATGGATTCGATTTTTCGTGTCGACAGATTTAGCGTAGTTATGAAAGCCCGCACTATTTCTCTGGAGTTTGGTTTCAATATATTGACGTTCATCTCTTCTTGATGACTTCTTGTTGACTATCTCTTTAGCAATAGGCAGTACGTCTACATCCCTCCTTTTCTGTTGGCTTAAAATTATACAATTATAATTAGCGCCTCCAGTTTGAGATTTGTTATAACAACAAATTGAAATGTTTATACCTTGTACCCGATGGGTAAAAAGGGTATATTAGGTTTGTGCGAAATATGTAATAGGCAGAAGGAAGTATCTTCGACCCCATAAAGTATATATTCTTGATCAGCACGACGAGATAAATCGATGAACGCCTGGATTTTGGAAACGATTTTGGATACCAAACTTGGTATGCAGAACTCCTAGTCCCTAGTCTATGCGAGTTTATTTTATTTTTTGATTTTCCCTCCCCTTTCCCCGATACAGAATTTCGCTAATACTGTCCGCATTTCAAAAGCTACATAAACCAAACTTTGCACGCGTAATAAATATACAATAATAACCTACTTGTTTTTCATCAAAATCAGTAAATTCTAGAAAAAGTTATTTGCGAAACTATTTCACTCCAGCACTACGCCAACAAACTGCAAGATCAAGTTTGAAGTTTAGTCTAATTTTGCTTCTGCTATAGACACATATAAGTTTGTGTGGGAACAGGGTATTTCACTGTCGGGGGGTTTTTTTTTTTTTTGGCACTGCCGAGGTATCGTGGCAATTGGTGAGCGCTAGAGTCTCATTGGGGTGGCAGTATACTACAGATGTCAGCTTGTAGACGTCAATTTTATATCGCGATCCAGTATACCATAATCAAAAACCTTACTAGTCTCAGTTTTAAAGTAATAATAATAATAAAAGTAATAATAATAACAATTTAACAAATTTGTAATATTAGGGTTAGGTTAGGTTAGGTTTGCATATGCATATGCTTATTACTTCAATACCGGGGCAATATGGCAAAACAGAAATAAAGTTTGTTGAGAGTTTCGTTTCAGCTTGGCTGAGGGTATATATATATATATATATATATATATATACTGTTTCTATGCATTCCATTTTTTTTGGGGAGAGCATAGAAACTAAAATCACTTGTGTGTCAGTCTGCTTAAAAAATCAAGAAAAACATACAATAAACATCCTTCTGTCCACCACGCAAGTCATCCGCACGTCTTCGGGAAAGAGCTACGCATACAACACAGATACCCACCGCGACGACCACAACAGTGGCAATGAGTGGTACCATAAAATTCAGATCTAGCCACTCGGGCATCCAGGCAGGCAACCGAATTCGCGTATGAACGTTTCCAGTTCCTAACCCATCATCAAGCGGGGCAATAGTGCCTTAGATTTGGATCCCATATAATATAAATCATTTATATTGTACATTTTTAAACATGCATATTATGTTATGTAATCGAATATCAGTTGTTCCGAAATGTTTTTAAATTTGTAGATTAAATTTTAAGTAATCGACATATATAAATTTCAATTAAGGCGCATTCGTGTTCGTGTATCAGTGAGAAAGAGAAAAACAAAAACAAACACGTTAGTTTGATGATTTCATATCTACCTTTGTGGTGATTGCCTTTGCTACGTAGTATACAAATAACAATTATTGCTATTATTATGACGAGCAGAGCCGCCACGACCGGTACTACTAAATTTAAGTTTGAGAGAATAATGCGTATAGTGTCCTCGGCAGTTAATTCAGGTATATCATGCGAGGGTGCGATTGTGCCTGCAACAACAACAACCAAAGTGTTTCACATGGAGAGAGAAAAATAAAAGGGGAGTAATGAGAGTAGACAAATCTGTTTTCTAAAAATTCGCCCACAAAAGCTTTTTTCTTGGATATGTGTTTTAACATTAACTTTTGTAGCAGATACTTGCCTAACTCTTGTCATACATATACAAATACAAACATATGGTTCGTATTGAAAGAAAACTTTTTGAGATCTCGTATTTATATTTTAAATGTTAAAATCAATTTAATCAGCTAATGACCGTTTTTACTTACCTTTTTTTTTTGCATATTTAGTCGAGTAAATTTTCCTACTATGATAAGAAAAACGCGCATTTAACAAAATACTTGCGGAAATAATTTAGCTTATAGCTTAATGTTGTTGCTGATTTTGGGGTAGTTCCTTTTTTTACAGATATTTTGAGGCAGACATTTATATTTAAATTATGTAAGCAAAATATTATATCAATTAAAAGTTCAGTATGTATATGGGAAAAGATACATGAACAGAAGTTGCCCATGATTACAACTACTTAAGTACCGTCCATTCACTTAAGTGTAAATTTTCGATAGAATTTAAATAAATATCAATAAAATTTGCAAACACTAACAAATGGAACTGAACTATGTATAAATCGGTTATACAAGTATAAATAAATATTGTAAACAGTTGCGGAATTTGTTGGTATATGTTCGCTGAATGTGTAATTAAATAAACTAGACATTCGGATTTCACTCCCTATAATTGTAAGGGTGAAACTTTGGTTGTTGTTACGAGAACTCGGCGTGGCTCTGCTTGCCTTCATAATTTTTAAACATTTGGGTGTGATAAACAAAAATAAAAGTAATCGATGGTCCCGAAAAATGTAGTGATGAGTTGATTTACTGTTAAATATATACTGTATATATATTCAACTTCAACATTTTCCGAACATTTATTAATAAACACACAAATTAAAATAAATCTTTGAAGCCCTACGCAAAACAAATTCCGCACTTGAAATCCAAATGTCTGTTTTTTTTCGTTTCTTGTGGTAACTGATATGCGCATGGTTCTGCTATATGTTGTGTAGGTAATTAAATATAAGTATTCATATTGATGAAAATTTAACGATTCATAGAAGCGATTTAAAAAATCAATACGTAGAACATTGGTAATTAATATGGGAAATTGAGTATCAACCCATTGTTTGCACGGATATGTGTATGCCTGTTGCTCTTTAGTTTTGTTCCTTGTACTTGAAGCTGTATTAAAAATACATACTTGTACATATGTACATAGTTGAAATGGGCAGTTGACTTAACATGTACATACATACATATGTATGTACTATTTCCCTTAAAGGGTTTCTTTGTGATATATTTAACTGAGCTTTGCATTTCCTAAAACAAATGAAAACTTTATGACTGCAAATTATTTTAGGTACCCATTTAAAAAAAAAAAATTCTAAAGTCATTTAAAAATGCTTCTCCGCATTAATATTTGTATAGTATATGAAATATGTGTGGAATTTGGAGTTTGTTGTTTATACGTTAACTAAAAGACCGTGCAAGCTTAAAATCAGAAGAGAAGAATAACATAAGCAAATTTGTGTTATAGCTGGGTTTGTTATTTGTATATGGACAATCTTGTTTACTTATGCAGCGGCACTACCTATGTATGTAAGTAAGTTATAAAATAAATAGAGTCGCCGCGAGTACTACAAAATTATCAACGTAGTTTTTCTCTGTACAAAAGCAATGATTTTTTAAAAGTGGAGCTAAGCCTTGATAAATTGGTAAACAGATAATAAATACCTCCGGTTACAGTGAGTGTTGCAAAGTCATATTCAGCAACCGTGAATCCGGCTGAATTGTGGGCGGTTATACGAAGGTTATACCATGTAGCTGGCTCCAAATCTAAAACTACATAATTGTTGTCAGGTTTCACATTGTTCGATATTTGATTCCATTCAATTTGATCCCTGTAAGTTGACTTATTAGATTAGAGTGAAGATTATATTAAAAATACAAACCGTTTCTTGCTCTCAACTACAAAGTGGGACATTGGACAACCACCGTCTTTCCATGCCTTAAAGTGTAATGATACCGAATTAGAAGAAACTTCAATAAATCGTGGTTTCTCAGGAAGTTTGGGTTTTTGCCCCTTCGTACGGGTATTTAAAATATCAGATGCTTCACCAGCACCAATACTAGAAAAATGAGTCGTCGAATAACATATGAAACCCAATAATTTGTGTTCACTTACTTGTTGAAGCCAGTCGCATATACCTGATAACGCGAACCACACAAAAGGTTTTCGATGTTGTATTTTTGCAAATCTACAGAGACTTCAGAAGTTTCCCATTCCCCGAATTCTACGAGAATATATTATGTTCGTAGTAAATATTTGTATATATAAATATAAATAAAATTATTGTACCCACCTGGCTTGTAATGCAAAGTATAACCGTGCAATGGAGCCGTATCTCCCTCATGCGGCTTTAATTTCACTGTTAATGTATCGGTAGTTGTAGCTGAGAGTGTTACATGTGGTGATTGTGGCGGTGCTAGCACGATTAATTTATGCGTTATCGAATCTTTGGCAATTGAGTTCTCTGCATGGCAAGAATACTCCCCCGCGTCTTGGCGACTCACTGATTTAATCAACAAGGACCCATCAGGGAGTTGTCGCATACGATCATTGGCAGAGAATTCTGCGCCTTTTATTTTCCAAGTGATTTCAGGTTGCGGTGCACCAACGGCTAGACACGGCATTTTAGCGTCTTCCTTGAAGGTAGCAGTAAACGTATCATCAAATGAAGCGATCTTTGCAGGAACTTGATCACTGGGTATGGCGACAATGCTCTTTGATTGCTGTCCTTCACCAATGTTAGTGCTGGCAGTGACCCAAAATTCGTAGGGTTTGTTTTTCTCTAGTTCGCTGGACTCCAAACTCATCTGATAGTGTGGTACTTTTTGGGTTTTAGTTTCAGTCTCAGCACCTCCGGCTTTAGAATATACAGTGTATTGAGTAATAATGCCATTTGGTTGTGCAGGTGGGCGCCAAGATACGAGTATAGCAGCGTTTCCCATTACCAGTGCCTTCACGTCTGTTGGTGCTTCGGGTACTTTAATGGAATGTATTGTAAATAAATATAAATATAAGTGCAATATGGCATATATAATGGTGTTATTTACCATCAGGCTCAGTTTGGCAGTGTATAGGTGTACTGCGTACACCATCTCCACCGGCGGTGGTCGCAAGCACCTGCATAGTATAGTTGGTAAACTTCTTAAGGCCATGTAGCACTGTGTCTGAAGAGGCTGTCTTCTTGTAATGGCGTTTGGTCTCATCTGTAAATTGAAATGATAACATTTCTGCACTCTACCCTAAGATGTTTAATAAATACGTACCGTACCATTCATCGCTTGGAGCGTAAACCACCTTATATGTCTTTATTACTCCATTGGCCGACTCCAGTGGCGGGCTCACCCAACTCACACGTATGGTCTGTGAAGTGAGAGTAGTGCATGATGTGTCGCTAGGTGGTTGACTTGGAACACCCTCGGCGGTAAACTGTTTCTCCTCATCACTCAATGGACCAGCACCAATCTTGTTGAATGCTTGTATTACTACCGAATATTGCGTGTATACACGCAGATTGGTTAGCTCCAAGTTGTGTTCTTTGCCCTCCTCAGTAAGGAAGTTAACAGTTTCAAAGACATATGAAGAGTTTACGTTTGTCAGCCTGTAACCTATATAATAACCCAATATTTCACCATTCCATTCGGAGCGCGGTGGTGGCTTCCAAGTGACACGCATAGTAGTTTGATTTACGGGCTCAACCTTTATGTTTTGCGGTTTGCCAGATGGTGCCTCTTCTGCAGTAATAATAGTTACCGCCTCCGATGACTGTGATGTTCCTATAACGTTTTCAGCTACTATACGTATGTTATAGGTGGTTGCTGGGCTCAGTTTTTGGACTTGGGCTTCGGTGGTGTGGCCAGGCACTATGACACGGTCTATTTCATCCCAGGATGCACGCGATCGTTTAAACTCAATGATGTAGCGGTTTAATGGTGAGTTACCATCATATGGTTGTGCCCAACTTAGCTGAACGGAACGGCCAGATTTATCCAAAACCTTAAGAGCGTATGGCATTTCTGGGACTTCCTGAACAATCATGTTAATACTCGCATCGTCTGAACCAAATGCATTTGTAGCGACACATGTAAACAATGCAGAGTCAGAACGTTCAGTTCGTTTGATTGACAGACTAGACATAACACCAGTCGACAGTATCTCTTCACGTATGGTATATCGATTATCATTTTTAGGATCCAAGCGCATATTGTTCATGTTCCATAAAATCCCAATCGGTTTCTCCCCTTTCGCCTCGCACTGTAGCACTGCCGGTTCACCGCGACGGGCTGTCTGATTACGAAGCTTTTCTGTAAACTCAGGTGGTGCTTGCACACTTATCATTATAACGGCGGAGAGTCCAGAACCAATTCCGTTAATTGCCTCGCACAGATAGTAACCCTCGTTAGTTTTTTGAATGTTGTCAATATGCAGGGTTCCCTCTTCGACGCGAACATTGTCACTTTTCTTCAGATCCTTATATTCTCCAGGTGTATCACCTTTGGTAACCAAACACAATTCACACCAACTGTAATTATTTTGAATATGCAACATAACTTACCAACTGCTTTTTTCCAAGTGACTTGTGGCTTTGGAAATCCATCAGCCTTGCATTCAACCTTTGCATCAGAACCTTGTGCAAATGCCTTATCTGTTGGTTCTAGTATCCATCTTGGTGGAACTGATTTTTTTTGCAGTTTGTTTGTTGTGATAGATATATACAAAATAACAATATTAGTTTTTCTTATAAATAATTATTAAATATGTTTTCAGAAAATTGAAATGGTGTTAACAGCTGTATATTCACTTTTAGACCTGATTATACTCATTTCAATTTCCCTGCTATTTTGTGAATATACTTTTGGTCATACTTAGTATTTTGAATATTAACTGCCTTCGATTCCATTGCAAATTATTAAAATATAAGAAAATATACTAATATAGTATATTTTTTCAGTAAATCATTTTTTTTAATTACAACACATATGTGATTTTATTATTATTATAGTATAACATAGTACTAAATATTAAAATAATCTTTTTTTTTTATTTCTTCGATCATTTATATTTATATTAACATACCAATTAAAGAATGTTTGCTGGAAACATTAGAAAAATGTAGTTTTAAAGAGCACTTTTTATCTTGCACTATAGATTGTTAATTAGATTTAGCATATACTAATGGGATATTTAACAGAACTTTGTATGTATTATATTTTATTGGAATCAAATAGTAACAAACGACAATATTACGTTATTAATTAATTCGACATGTACCAAAAATATTTTCACTGTTTGCTTAGATTCTAGAAAACTAAAAATCCAAATTACAAACAAAATAAAAGTAATTTATAAAAACTAAAGACATAAAGGACAAATAAAATATTGGACATAAGAAAATATAAAATAAATAGAATTAAAGCCAAAAAGCTAACAAAGCTACAAACGAAGTGCTGTTTGATGTAAAGTAGTAAATCACATTTTACATGAACTTGCTTAGGAGCACTTTTTTACTTGCCTAATTAAATATTTAAAAACAGACTTCGTTTTATGCTTTTGTATTAAATAAATTACACAATTGCAAATAATAATATAAATGAAATCAGTAGGGATAAGAAGGGAAGCTAGGAAAAAGGCAAGGATAGTTAAGGTGTGGTGCTGTTGCTGAAATGTGATTCCCTATGCAGGCGCATGCCTGAAGCCTACCAGCTAAGATCTGTGACAAGTTGCTCGTGAGTTTTAAAGGCAATAGAAAGCTAAGTCTAATCTAGCTGATGTAGTTTTGGAGAAGTCAATATTACAATCCTATCATATTTTCGATTTTAGAGAGTGTGTGTTCAAAAATGACAAGGCTTTTATTTTTATAATGAACCCAATACTTTTAGCGCCGGATAAAAGACTTAATGACTCACGGGGGCTAAGCCAAACTCCTAATCAACAGGAGGAGCGTTAATACAAAGACTTGTTCTTTATACTTTGTATGGTAGCATGTCATCTGAATAGAACTAATGTTCTAATAAAATAATTTTATTTAATATCTAATTTATTTGTTTGTTTATAATAATCATATCATTTCTATGGTATATATATATATATATATATATATATATATATATATATATATATATATATATATATATATATATATATATATATATATATATATATATATAATAATATATATATATATATATATATATATGTATATATGAATATGAATATATACATATTATATTTATTTATATAGTGCTCTGATGCGTTCATTGACCGTAGACGTATGTCTATAGATATAAATTTAAATTATTCATACGCCAATAAGCCAACGTCATGCTGAATCATACCAAGAGCTGATTTCTTTAACAAGCAATGTTGAAGAAAATTTGCCAGATTTGCAAAATTTGTTACATATAAAACTGTTTTATACAATCAGTATTTAATTGTGTTAATTAATTAATCAATTAATTTGAAGTATATATATATAGTATAATGAAAAATACCACAAAACAAGAGACTTGAATATTATTCTCGACACCAAGAGTGACAAGTATAGCAGAAGCATTATTTGGTGCCTTAGGGACGGTTATTAAGAATCAAAATCGTTTCATCAATGAATTTATTATTTATTCTATAAAAATCGTACAGGAGCTTCAAATATATTAAGGAGATTCCAGAAAACTGACAACTTGATGCAAATAAATATTGATGTTCAATACACTAAGTTCTTGCCCTTTGCCGAAACGGGAGCAAACCTATATTTTATGCACGTACTTAAAGATTTTTGTAGATATAAAACCAATACAAATGTTATAAATGATAAAACTGTCGAAGAATCATAGATATTTCAAATACGTCAGTTGCACATGTACCCTTAACTTTTAAAATAGACCAGCGATGGGACAGACCAGCTGAATTGCTTGCAACACATGTATAGTTGCCCGAATCTTCAATTGTCGCATAACGCAAGGACAGAATCAATGTGTATTCGTCGATTTTGTGGTATATGGAACGAGTTAAGGGTTGTCCGTCTTTGAGCCAGTACATATTAGTAGGTTGGTCCCCAGACGACAGCAAGCATATAACACGCACTGCTTGACCTCCACTGACTCCGTTAGAATTAAAATTAAATTGCTCGATTTCCGGTAATTCTATATGAAAAAAACATAGGTAAAGCTATTCTTAAGCAGTTCGCTTGAATAATCTAGCTTTTGCTAAAGATTAATTTTAAATTTAGTACAAACACATAATAATAGAATGGTTTATACCTTCAAGTGTGTTAATTTTTTTAATTTATATAATTATTCTACATACATACATACATGTACAGAGTATGCAAAGTCGGGGCACCTGACCTTAGGTTTTCTGCTTATTGATAATAAGTGTATGTATGCGTGTGTATTTTCTGTCGTGTGCTATTATTTTATAATATTAACTTCTTGAAAATAGACTTTTTGTATTTTTATTTCAAGCGATACATGAAAAGGCAATTTGCCAACAATTTTATTAAATTACCTTTTAAACAAGAAATTTCATAATTTATGAAAATATTTAAGAAAAACTAAAAATACTGTATTTTCATGTTATAGCTTAAAATTCTTTTAGTTATGAAGTGATTTCTTAAATTTTTTTACTTGAAGTTCTCAGTTACGCTTACCACATTCAAAGGTTAACGAAAGCTCTGGATCAATTAAGCTATGAGCGTGTGTATGTACACACATACATACATACATCCACACTCGACTATATACATACAAGTATATACGTATATACCCTGTTGCCCTCGGTAAAAGACGTAGACTTATGACTCTCTGTACAAAAATGGTAAAAGGGCACGAACACACAGAAGGAGGCATGGCAGACTCCCAGAAGCTTAATATTTTTGATCAGTATGACAAGACGAGTCGATATAACCATATCCGTCTATCTCTCTATCCTTCTGTCTTTCCGTTCCTCCATATCTGTCTATCCGTCTGATCCTGAAGTACAAGATTTAGAAAAACAATCTTGATCCACAGTTAGTGTTATTTTACCCTATGCCCGTACCATAGAAAGGGCATAGAATTGCGTCATTTCTAAAACTTCATACAAAAACTTTACACACTTCATCTATATACACATTTGTATAGCCTGTACCCAAAGGGTAAAAGGCTATACTCGTTTTGTGCGAATGTACATATGTAACGCACAGATGGAAGCGTGGCAGACCCCACAAAGTATATATATTCTTGATCAGCATGACAGACGAGACGAGATCTATGTCTGTCTGTACGTCCGCCTGTCCGTCCGTATCAACAGCTGGATCTCAGAGGCTGCTTTTTTTTTATTTGTTCTTTCATCGCTCCCGTAACTCTTGCAATTTCAAACTCAAACTTTTCAAATACCCCCAATTAGTGATTATGTGTCCATATGTTAAGTTTCATTATGATAGACCGATTTAACAGGAAGTTATAGCCATAAATATATTTGCTACCCAAGCGCTGCCCGCAGCTGTTGTTGATGTTAGTGCTTTGGTTGACTGCAAACATGCTCACACAGATGCGAATAGACGCGCATAGACATATACTTGTACATACTTTACGTGAGTTCGAATGCCGAGAGAGGTAAAATCGATCAAAAGTATAAGAGCTAGAACAACCAATCTTGGTATCCAGATTCTCTTAAGTCCGAGAAAGAACGAGTTTTTTTTTGTGATACTCCCCACTCCCCTGAAATTCATGTTTTCCATAACTCCGGTAATTCTTGGAATTTCTCATATTTGGTAGTCATATCCAGTATATGATTATATACCTGTATACCAAGTTTCATCATGATAGGTAAATTCTGAAGGAAGTTATAGCCATCAATAAAATCGCTGCCCAAGCTCTGCTTGTAGCTCCCGCCGCTGTTATTGTTCTTGCTGCTTTGGTTCAACTTTGTGCTGCATACATACATGCATATAAACACGCATAGACACGATGTATATGTATGTTGTTGAAACTGTACATGAACAGGCCACCACTTTTCAATATATGTAATGAATAATTTGTATTTAATTTAATTAAATAATTTAATCAATATAATTTTTATAGCCTGTACCCAAAGGGTGAAAGGCTATACTAGTTTTGTGCGCATGTATGTAACACACAGAAGGAGGCGTGGCAGACCCCACAAAGTATATATATGTATTCTTGATCAGGATGAGAAGACGAGTCGATATAGCCATGTCCGTCTGTCTGTCTGTCTGTCCGTCTGTCTGTATGAGCGCAAGGATCTCAGTAAGTACAAGAGCTAGGATAACCAAAATTGGTATCAAGGTTCCTATAAGCCCTAGGCAGAACGAGTTTGTTTATTTTTTCTGATACACCCCCCCACTCCCCCGCAATTCGTATTTTTTCTTATAACTTCCGTAATTTTCGGAATTTTAAAATCAATTTTGGTAGGTACATCCAGTTAGTACTAATGTGTCCGTGTGCCAAATTTCATCATGATAGGTCAATTCTGAAGAAAGTTATAGCCATAAGTAAAATCGCAGCTCATGCGCTGCCTGCAGCTCTGTCGGCAGTGCTGCCCGCAGCTGTAGTTGTTGTTGCTGCTTTGGTTCAACTTTGTGCTGCATACATACACGCATATAAACACGCATAGGTACGTGATGTAAATGTATGCTGTTAAAACTGAACATAAACATGTATTCTAATTTAATTTAAT